GACACTTCAATTATGAGACAATCAGTTTAGATGATTTATTGGGTGAGCTAAAACAATTGTTCCGTTTATTAAGTAAAAATAGAAGACATTTTCTTTTTCGATAGCACTTCAATAAAGTATTAACTTTATTGAAAAGCTATTTCTCATTTTGTTCCGCGATTTTCTGCCATTTTTCAGACAAAATGATATTTCTAGACTCTCAAAAACTTTCATATTGGAACAAACAAAAATTCTTAGTGTTTTTTTAAGTGAATTTCGAAAATAATATTTAGATAATTGTAAATAGAGTATACCTTATATAGCCCTATATATGCCATTTTGTTGCATTAGCTGTCGGCTTCTTTAAGGCAGCTTCCTGATTTCATCGTCCTAATGGTTGCCCTCCTTCTGAGTGATGAACTGTGTTGTTTTTGAGACTTCCAGAGAATTTAATTTTTGTCTGATCACGAAAAAAACATGGTCACATATCCTTCAGCTGGAATATTACTTCCACTAATTCAGTACGTTTTTCGTCTAGTGCAGCCGCCAATAAAAGTTTCATTCGGAGCAATACTTGTTCGAATCAATCACTAGTTTCCCTCGAAGGACGAAGACGAACGTTCATTAATTTAGTGGAGGTTCATTTCTCCTGTGTGAAAATTCCTTTGTTGTAAATTAGCCAGTTTTCGGAGTCAGTCGCAATTTTAATTTGAATAAAACATTTCTGTTTTGTTTATAGGATTAAATCTCTCACGGTCATAAGATCCACTCGAACTTTCAAGTATGGAAATTCAACTATTTGTGTACGGAAGCTAAGCAAAGTATTAAGAGACAGATAAATTTTGTGAGAAACAAGATAAAGCGTTCCAAAGTGCCACGTAATAGCAAATCTCCGATATGGCAGTGAATGATCGTCACAGATGTAGAAGAGTGTCGAATCGATAGAGATGTGGTTCCACCGACGAATGCAGGGAATACAATGGAACGAACATGTGAGTAATGTTGTAGTCCTAAGGAAAATAGAATCTACAAGTAAACGTTCACTTACAATTAGGAGACAGTTAAAATTTCAAGGGAAAATAATGATAAATGAAAGCTTAGAGACTATCACATTCGTGCGACATATTGAAGGCAAGAGAATTTTGGAAACAGCGATTAATCTGCTTAATGGCTTCATGCGAATGAATGGAAAGACAGGGACAAAGATGGTCCGTAAAGAGTTCAGAAGTACAACAACGAAAGACAGCAAATTGTGGGGAGCCATGATCCTGGAAATATATAGTATATAAAAGATACAGACGGGCGTCTCGAGGTGGTGTAATGGTTAGCAAGCTTGTCTCACGAGAACAATTACGACTGAGTAGTGAGTTCGATCCTCACTGGGTGACCCATACATTCGGCCTTGTGCCACATCTGAGCTACGGTTGAAAAATCATGTAGATGTCGAAGCCTCGCATCAGAATGACTCGTATCATGCAATAGATGTTGTTTCAAAGCTTTGGATATTTAAACATCTTGACAAACTTTTGTAACGCTAATTATTTTTTTAAATATTAGAAATTGTTCGTAATCAACTTCATCTTGTTTGCACAACCTTCGCTCTGCTAGAAATCTTCCGGAAGAAAATTTGCAAGCTTATTTTTACGCATTCGATCATCCATAGAAAGTTTCTATAAACAACACGTTTTCAGTGCTTGAGTCGCAAATTCTTCTTGAAATAAAAAGTCATGATAAATTGAAAATTTTCATTAATATTCAGTTTAGTTTGGTTTGGTTTGGTTTACGGCATGACAACCGCAATGGGTTATTTAATGCCGACAATTTTTTTTTTATTGCTGGTAATATTTTTTTTCAAAAATCTATTTCTGGTAATATTTTTTTTTCTTAAAAAATCTATTTCTGGTACTATTTTTTTCTTCCAAAATATATTTCTGGTAATATTTTTTCTTCAAAAATCTATCGCTGGTAATATTTTTTCAAAAAATGTATAACGGGTAATAATTTTTTTTCAAAACTTTTTATTGCTGGTAATAATTTTTTGTAAAGTATTTCTGGTATTAAAACCTATTTTTACACTTTCGTAGTTTTGGGGGTTAACTATTTGCCCTAACAGATGCTATCACCCCGGGTCAGGGTGGACGTGAGAACACCAACAATTAAGAGGTGGTTCCACGCCCCTGAAAACTTCCTGAACAGTTGCCTTGCTGTCTGATGTAGTTTATCGTCATACCCAGGACGCTTAATATTCAGTATCAAAATCTATGAACAAAAATAAAACCGTTTTAATACATCTTCATTAAAATGTCAAGCTAATTGGATAACATTTACAGTACAATTGACACTACCATATATATATATATATATATATATATATATATATATATATATATATATATATATATATATATATGGTAGTACTCGTTTGGAAAAACCTCAGCTCAACTTGCAGTAGAACAAATCGGTACCCTAAGAAAAATGGAGAATAAAAAAAGAAAGAACCAAGAACATTAAACCAAGGCAAAAAACAATCGTCCAGTGTTTAAGCTCCAAGTCCAAAAAAAAAGAAAAAACCCAAAACGAGTAAAAGACAACTATGTAAATTTCTCACTAGACTAAGTAAGCAAAACCTAAGATAATCCTAAGGAGCCAGGCAAACCTACCTAGGTTTCACCTAAACGGATCTTCAGGTCAAAGCCAGCTCTACCCTAAAGATCCGTTTAGGTGAAACCTAGGTAGGTTTGCCTGGCTCCTTAGGATTATCTTAGGTTATATATATATATATATATATATATATATATATATATATATATATATATATAGAGAGAGAGAGAGAGAGAGAGAGATATTCAAGTCAGTTAATGCTAAACGCTTCCAAAGCTATCTAACAATAAACAAAGTATTCACTTTTTTTCCAATTTAATGTTAGGTATCGAATTTTTGGAGGAGTTTGATGAAAATCATCTTGCAAAACTCGCAATTGTAAAGCAAATCTTGCTCAGACAGAGCACTTAAAATTGATTAGGCCCTCTTGAAAGTCGTCGATAAGAAAGCGCTGCTGTTCAGCACATTGAACAGCATTCATATTGCTTTTGTTTTTATTCTTTTATCATTCAAGTACGTATGCACGACGACAGTAAAAGCCAGTAGCTTATTTTTTTTTTAAGAAAATACAGAGAACTAAGTCGACTGACTTAACTTCGAAAGAGATGTCTTCACCATTTTATTCGGTTGCTATTCGCATGACTTAAATGTATGCACTTGTGACGCAATTTTTTCCTTTCCTTGTAGGGATCTAAACAAAAGGAATGCATTTTCAACATGGAATCTTAGCAATTTACTTACTGGAGTACAAAAAACAAGATTATAAATGTGGAATACAAGGTAATGATAAAATTTAGTAAATTAACAATGGACTGAGAAATTAGCTTACAAATCAGTTCACCACAGTGATGTCTCCATTTAAATATTAGGTTAAGTCATTCCGTTTGGCGCACCAATTTTAATGACGTATGTATCATAGGAACTAAGCGTTCCTTAAATATATTATAACAGGTGATGAAAAATGTGTTACATATTAAAATGTTCAGTCTAAAAGGCAGAATATTGAGCAGGATAAATCACTACGACCGATCCCAAAAGATGAGCTTCTTGGGGGAAAAGACAATGTTGTGTTTGTGATGTGATCGAGTTTATCTTTAGACCAAATGATCTTTTCCTATATATATATATATATATATATATATATATATATGTGGGGGGGCAGCAAATTCTCTTTTAGGCATGTGAAAAAATTATCAATTATGAAATTTTTCCTCTATGTTATAATGTCATGGTCACGCGTGCATTAAAGCATGAAAAAACTGTTCCTTTACAAGCATTTCAGAACATTACTGTAGTATTCATAGTTGATTCTGTTCAGTGCAGGCTTTAATTTTTTAATATAAATTGCTTCTAGCATCTGTAATCTAAATTTGTTGTCTTCATGTTGTAGGATTGTTGTGTTGTCGACGCAATGGACGAATGGTCAGACATGTGCAGACATCTACAACAACATTGCTGTTCACATTAACAATATAGAAACTACTCATCGACAATGGATAATTCTTTCACGTTCTAATACTGATACTGAGCACTTTATGCCATAAATAGAGCATATTCCTTTATATACATATATGTATATATATATATAGACAGACACACACACACACACATATATTATATATATATATGTGTGTGTGTGTGTGTGTATATTATTACATATATGTGTGTGTGTTCACAACATCTCTAACTGAGAATCTTCTAACAATTACCAAGATTTAAACTTCCGAAAATTTATTGGTCTCCCCAGATCGAAATTACAATCCATAATTGAAGCAACTCGGAAGTTTTCTGTGGGTATGTTTCTTTCCCTTGGGAAAATACCTAATTAGTAATCAGACGAGACGACGGATAAGGACCAACTGGTGTCCAGTACAAACGCCAAATTCTCTTTCCTCAAATAACTGAGGGACAGGAATGATGATGGGGGTCATGTGAAACGGATCGGTCAGCTGCTTAGAACCGTCCTCGATGAAGGACCACCCACTGCTTCGTTAGCAGTGTCAAAACCGAAAATCGCTAATTAAAAATGGCCACTTGACGAACAGGCCGCCAGGCTTTCAGTATTAAAACTATCTACGCTCTCCAAAGCAATTGGCATGAACACTTGAGTGTTGATTGAATGATATTGAAGGAGTGAGCCATAAGAGGAGGAAGAGGTGTTGATTGAATGATATTGAAGGAGTGAGCCATAAGCGGAGGAGGAGGTGTTGATTGAATAATACTGAAGGAGTGAGCCATAAGAGGAGGAGGAGGAGAGTAATTAGGAATGAGGGAAAGAAAGAAGTAAGAAAAAAAACAACTTGATAAAAATTATTAAACACATAAACGAGTTTATCCGATGTCATATTTCCTATGATTTATAACATTTATCACACGTTTGCTTGTTCGCGTGTCAATCTATTATATGACGGGCTGTGGAAATGTACTTCAAGGAAGGCCTCCCTAAAACTGTTGTTTTGTCAATCGGTCAGAATGTAGGAAGTAAATCTGGCTGGAAAAAAAATTCATTACCATTTCGTACATATGATGGGGGATCGACTCAGCCATCTATTTCGACATATCCAGATCCTTACCGCCATATCAAGTTGAACAACCGATTCTCGTACATTCGGTGAAGTTAAGCAACGTAGAGTCTGGTCAGTACCTACAGGGGTGGTCGCTGTGCGTATGGTGTAATGAATAACGACTCAGAATTGGAGATCGGAGAACCGAGTTCGAATCCAAGTCGAGTTCACTTTAAAATGCCCTTGGAAAAGGTACGAATATTCCTTTTCTACGTACAGCTATAGATTAAACAGTACGACGTGTATCGGTAAATTATTATTATACCCAAAATATTCCTAAAATCTATTGTTTTCTGACCTTAAATAACATACAAAAGGTTGATGAGCCATAAGCAAATCAGTCAATCGACATATCAAAAGTCAGTATAGTTTGTAAAATCTTACAGGATGCGTAGGTTGGCCGAGAATGGAAAACAGTACCGTACTGGTCAGAATTCTGATGACCCGAACTGAACGTGTGGGGGGGTTCAACCTCGTGGGCGTGGAATTATGACAATGATGGATCATCTTTGTTTAAGCCGAGATATGAGGAAAGCATTCTTTATACACATTTCATATTATTTATTTAGTGAATATCGTTATTCATTTTATTCTTAATATCCATTATATATATATATATATATATATATATATACACACATATATATATATATATATATATATATAATTGTATGAAAGTGATGTCTGAAGATCCAGAGTACTTTGGTGAAATAATCTATTACAATGGAGCCTTAAAAGTGGTCTGTTTTTCTTTTAAATTATTAGCTCTGAATTTAAACTGAGCTCTCAGGATTTCATCCTCCTTAGGACTACCCATACGGATTACCAAGATTTTCGTTATATATATATATATATATATATATATATATATATATATATATATATATATATATATATATTATTGGAATGATGAACTATTCAAGTTGATTATTTTTATCTGTCAGATTTTAACCCATTGTAAGAGGCTATTTTTTTTTAATTCCTGCAGATAAATGTCAGTTCTTTTCAGCGTATTCTGTTTCCTGCTAACCGGGAAAGATGGATACACAATACCTCAAATAATCGTGATCTCAAAAATAGTTTTACATAATTTTTTTAAGAAGAAAATATGAAAAAAAATCCAGTAAACTATACAAAATACACAAAAAGTTAAGCAATTTGAATACCATCAACTGTCCTTGACTTTTAAGCAAGAAATTCAAATAAAATGAATTGAAAAACAAGACTGAAGGAATAGTTGAAAAAGAATCGTTACCTGCTCTTACCCATAGCTTATAAATGTGTTTCTGTTTCTGGTAAAATTTGTACACGCTATTAAACTTTATAAAATTATCTACTACAAAGGGTCTGTATTTGGTTTTCTTCTGCTATATTACGTGTCCGTTCTGGACATAGGAGATCATGGCTCTCCTCAGTTTCCTGTATTTTATAGTTTGTAATAAAGACTGTATTTTTGTTATCGTTCCTAAAAGTTGTTCCGCCATCCATTTACTCAATCTTCCTAAATAGGCTACGCGTTGTTTTCTTCTGTTCCACTTGCTTTCTATCAATTCAGTATCAATTTTTCCAAAACCTCTTTCCTCGTTATGTGTCCTAGAACTTTCAATTGCCTCATTTCTCCTGATGATAAGTATCAGTGTTTAGTTTCTGCAAAATATCGTCGTTGCTCATATGTTCTATCAAGGTATTATCAACATCCCTCAGTAGAACCGCATTTCTGTTTTTTCAAATCTCTTCTTCATCTGTGAGGAGATTGTCCAGCATTCACTGCCAAATAGGCGGACTGATATTACATAACGCTTCAGTACTCTTTTCTTTGTTTCTGTTGTTTTAAATCTCTTCTTCATCTGTGAGGTGATTGTCCAGCATTCACTGCCATATAGGTGGACTGACATTACCTTTCAGTGCTCTTTTCTTTGTTTCTGTTGTTTCAAATCTCTTCTTCATCTGCGAGGAGATTGTCCATCATTCATTGCCATAGAGGCGGACTGATATTACATAACAGTTCAGTAGTTTTTCTTTGTTTCTTTTGTTTCAAATCTCTTCTTCATCTGTGAGGAGATTGTCTAGCATTCACTGCCATATAGATGAACTGATATTACATAACAGTTCACTATTCTTTTCTTCGTTTCTAATGATTTTTTTCTGTTTCTTAAATATTTTGCTTAGCTTTTGAACGGCATTTTTCGCTATCATAATGTGCCTTCAGATTTCAGTTAAACCACTTCCAAGATACTTAATATATTAAATTATTGTTTGATTTTGGTAATTCCAACTCTTAATTTATGTTGAGCTATTCTTTTTGCTAACAATTATGCATTCTTTCTTCTTTCAATTGATTCTTAGTCATTTCTTCTCGTTTCTTTCACTACCTTCCGTAATGAAAGAGGAAAAGAAATTAAAAATTTACTAACAGTATGGGTTCCGCATCCACACACTCACCAATTTGTAATTTGCATGCCAGGCTGGTCATTTTGGCAATAGCCAAGCATTCTGTCTTCTTGCAATTTGACTTATTTTTCTTTCTCCAATATCAGTGTCCTTGAGGATAAAGGACACATGGCCCAGTGACTAGACCCAAAGAATTGTGAGTTCAATACCAGGTCACAGCAGTAGTGAACCGAAACTTGGAGAGTTGATTTAAAGGGAAACAACTGAGACATCCGGAAGGGGCATGGTACATTAACTAGAACAATCTACCCCGCTGAACGCAATAAAAGATTTGCTTCGAAATTCCAATCACCTGAAGAAGGCCGAAGCCTACAGCGGACGAAATGTTGTGAATCTGGCAATGAAGATGATGATAACAGTTTTCTTTAATCGATTAATTGAACAAATATTTTTAATCGATTAATTGAACGATTAATTGAACGAATAATTTACTTCTTTTGATGTGAAATTACAAATATTATGATTTATTATTGAGCCTGGATTGTTTAAAAATAATAACGAAATAATTATTAACTTTCAACGAATGTATCATACTTATAATCGGTTCGTTTATTAAACCTGCAATCGTCAGTTACAGTGGGGTCTAATGGATCGGAGCCGTTTGAATTCCAATCGGGTTCGTTGCCACACAAAATTCAGTCAAATTAACTCATCTTTTTGCTATGTTTTGCCTGCTTTTGTCTTCCCTCGTCCCGTCTTTGAATAATACCAACAAAATATTCCCGAGATATATTTTTTCTCTTTTTAATGTAAGTTCTCAAATATTAAAACAATTTATATTTTCCAAATGAGGAAAAAACCGTAAAAACGAAATGCTTCGTCAGACATCTGCTGAGCATTCTTTATATTTAAAACGGGTTTTTAATCGACACGCGTTTTTAAGGCTGGTCGAGTGGGTATGCGTTCTCGACGAAACGCTAAAAAATATGGAAATCTACGCCATAAACATCGTCGCCGAATAATCTATCAGTTCTCTTACTTGATTAAAATCAATTATATAATCTGCTAGAAGATGGTATGTCAGGATCTTCCCTACACCCCTTCGAACTAAACTATTTCGACTTAAAACTGGCCAAGACTGATACAATTGAGAGATAATATATTTATTATTCGATTAACAAATGATTGAGCATAGTGATTTTCCAAGCATAGCTCAGATGTGGCACAAGACCGAATGTATGGGGCACCCAGTGAGGATCGAACTCACTAGTCAGTCGTAACTGCTCTAGCAAGACAAGTTTGCTAACCATTACACCACCTCGGGCTGCCCTTAAATGATTGAGTATATATACACCATTTTGGTTTACTTTAGTCATTATTAGTGAAATATTTGTTAAAATATTTGTGAAATAAGAAAGTCTTTGTAAAATATTCATGAAAGCTTAGAAAGATTATTTTGTTATGTCGCTAATTATTCTTGAAAACATCAATTGCAAGAAAATGGAAATGCATGGTTGTTAGCAACAGGTTGAAAATGTTTATTTCTTCTGCGCGTGATTAGCGACATTTTGAATCGAACCAGTTGTCTCCCCTTTGTTTGCTTGGACTCAAGACAAATATATCAAGCGTGCTGATGAAATCCTAGCGTTATTTGATTTGTTAACATAGTTCAGTAGTTCAAGTAAACCATCAAATATCTTCGAGAAAGTCATCTATTCAATTTATTTAGCATAATTGATCTGGGGTTTTCTAATTCTCAACGTGTATGTCTCCAGAACTGGCAGAGGAGAACCCGTTTTAAATTTCTAATACTTAATTTTTGAGTTAAAACGATAGCCTTCATTAAGCAGTGTACGGAGAAAAATGTCGAAATAGGATGTAATTGTTGATTTTAGTAGCCTTTGAAGTTGTGAAATTGCTGTGTCCTGACGAACAAAAGTGAGTAAGTTTGATGAAACTAGACAGACACAAGAATTAACATTTTTATTTTATCAGGAACTTTTAGTACAGGGAGTGTTCACGATAATTCCTGAGAGAGGGAGATAAAATTAGGTATGTTCTTATGATATTCTTCTTCTTCCTTTCAAAACGTGAGTGATTATGGATCTCCACCACTTCCTACTCTTTGTAGCCTTTAATAGTGTTTTGTATTTTACTACCCCCCACCAATATCTGTTCTCTCATTCATTTACACAAACATGTAAGGTAAGTTATTCACTGCTCACGTCGTCATTTCAGTATGTCCTGTGAGTGTCAAATTCTCGAAGTCTTCTTTCTTCATTATGTTTCCTAGAAATTTCAACTGTTTTTTTTTTTTATTTTAAAGAGATTTTTTTTTTTTCGGGCAACAACGTGAACGTGGAAGGGCGCCAAATTCGACGAATCCCCCCCACCAAAAAAAACAACAAGCCTGGGCGAGACCCACTTCTCACGCTCACCAATTTACTCATACACTCAACTTCAAAATAAACTTAACTATTCATATTTTTATGTTTGAGATCAGTACGTCGGCCAGATGTTGATTTTTGGGTTTTTTCTAGGATCGTGGAGACTGGCGTCGTTCATTGCTTTTATCCGATTTTTTTTTAAATTCGCGCTGTCAATCTTCCGGTTTTTACGCAAGCGCATAATCCTGCAAAGACTAACTGCTGCTAATAGCTATTTTAATGAATGCGCGTCTGGCTAAACAGCGTGTAGCAGCTGCGACGTGATTCTGAACCAAGCGTGATTACAAAATGATGAAAGATTCGCTTACTACCATCGTAATGGTTTACGATATTAAAAAAGCAAATCACTACTTCACAGGGAGGTGCTCTAATACTTACCGAGGTGATATCAATCTCGAACAGAGATACATTTATGGGTCACCTAGTGAGGACTAAACTCATTTTAATGAACGGTTGAACCATCAATGAAATTCCTAGTCTGAAACTTCTAATGGAATGAAAGCTTACCCCAGACATGTGGGCCCATCACTAAAAATCCAAGGAAAATAGTCGGTTAGTAGTACTTGACACCTTCTCTTACGGAAAAACCAAGTCAGACCAAAAATGGAGAATTGCTGCCACATCTAGACTAAAGTTACTAAATCTTTATTTCCCAGATACGACCTCGTTCAAAAGCCTTTACCCGGCCTTGCGACTGATGAATTATCTCCACCCTAGAAAAAGATAAAATATTTCTAGCCTCTCAATATTTTCTTCGCAGATTTTCGGACGAAGTACAATCCTTGATTCTATGAGTCCAGGCATTCACAGCTAAGATCCTCCATGCCATGTACACACAGTCGACTCATCCTCATTCTCTTTGTATTGTACTGTAAAGGAGGAAATTCCACTGAGAGAGCTTCTTGGCAGAACTGTTGCATCATGGGACAGACTCTAGAAAGGATGTTTCCTGATCATTATAGTTTTACCCTTTCCAAGAATCCTGCATCTCCTCATAACAGGTATCTCTTGCTTCCACCTTGTACGTCCTGACAACAACCTCATTCAATAACCTTTTTTTAGTGTTTCTTGTATCTTGTATTAGATGTACAATAGTAAAAAAATAAAATTCTAGTACTAATAGTCTTTAACTTACTAATCACGAATCCAGGATATGGTATAATTGTTAACTCAAATATGTAACGATGCAATGAGTATTTTATAGTCCTGAAATTCGCAAAGAGCTTATTCAATCATTAAGCTAATTCTCATCAGAAAATTAAAATAAAAAGTCGTGAAAATTTTGTAGGTACTACTTGTAGATATTATTATTATATATAAAAAAAAACGTTTCATAACATTTGCTCATCTTCAGAGTTGGGCCAATATGGGAATGCCAATAGATTATGGTGTTTATTTGTCTTTACGATGCCAGTTCTTGTTCTTTCGTAACCAGAGTATATTGGTTCACTACCAAACCTAGGGATTGAACACGGCCACTAAGTTTAATTAACTATAAACCTCATCTAATTTGGCTCTATCAATTTGTTTATCTATCATTTCGAATTTCCGTTTGGTTCATTATTCACACGCGCAAATAACATCGGGAAAAAGTATGAATCCGCCTCTTCTCCCCTACCTATGGGTTAATTATTAAACTTTCTATCACTAAACTATTATCTCAAAAAATATTTCTTACAATCTAACTTTCTGGTTTTAAATAACCTGCAAAGGGTTGATAAACCGCAAAAAACTAATCAATTAATCAAAACAGTCTATCTATAACTATCTATCTCGACCGAAGTGCAGATTTGTATTTCCGATGCTTAAAGTCGAACGCTAGCTTATGTTCTTATTGTGTCATGGGTCGCGTTAATATCTAAATTAAAAGGTGATGTAGATAAGGTAGCGCAATTTATATGCCGAGTTACCTGAATAAGAATTCTAATCAATAGATCACCGTCAGGAACACCGTCATACTGTACTACGGGCGACCATTAGTTTTATTAATCGCTGTATACGTAGTCCTTCAGGGCCGGTAATCATAACATTAATTCACGTTCTTTTTTCAATGGAAGAAAAGAATTTTGAAAAACAATAAAGTTTTATTCTGAATCGTTATCGATTTCTTTGTCTATTTCAAGCCATTCACCGACCAACTTAAGCATTTTTATTTCTTTCTTTCAATCTTTCCTTCTTCTAAGTTTTCTTCCACCTCTGGTACTTTTTCTTTCTTTTTACATCCTCGCTTTCTCTTAGTACTTTTTTCTTCTTCTTCTTCTTTTTTACTTTCTCTTTCTTTTTATTTCCTTGCTTTCTCTTAGTACCTTTCCTTTTTTCTTCTTCTTTTTTAATTTTTCTTTCTTTTTACATCCTCGCATTCTCTGAGTACTTTTTTCTTTTTCTTCTTTTTTACTTTTTCTTTCTTTTTATTTCCTCGCTTTCTTCAATAATTTCTCTTCTTTTACTTCTTTTTCTTTTTTTACTTTTTATTTTATTTCCTCGCTTTACTTACTTTTGCCTTTTTTCTTTTCCTTCTTCTTCTTGTTACATTTTACTTCTTATTTCCTCGCTTTTCTTTATTACTTTTCCTTTTTTTTCTGCTTCTACCTGCTTACATTTTCCTTCTTTCTTTTTTTTTCGTCTCCTCGCTTTTAATTATATTTAATACTTTTCTCTTTTTTCTTCTTCTTTGTTACTTTTTCTTTCTTTTTATTTCCTCACTTTCTCTTAGTATTTTTTCTTTTTTTCTTCGTTTTTACTTTTTCTTTCTTTTTATTCCCTGGCGTTATTCATTAATTTCACTTGTTTTACTTTTTTTACTTTTTATTTCATTTTATTTCTTCGCTTTACTTAACTTAATTTTTCCTTTTTTCTTTACCTTCTTCTTCTTCTTCTTCTTCTTCTTATTTCTTCGCTTTTCTTTACTACTTTTCACTTCTTTTTCTTCTACTTGCTTACATTTTTCTTTCTTTTTTTTTCATCTCCTCACGTTCTTTAATATTTAATACCTTACCCTTTTCTTTTTCTTCTTTGTTACTTTTTCTTTCTTTTTATGTCCTCGCTTTCTTTAATACTGATGGCAGACAGAGAAGTTTCTCTGTGGTGGTTACATGAGACCAGTTTTGTCTTGGAGGCGTTAATATTTACAAGCCATTTCCTGTCCCAGTTAACCACTGATTGGAGGTCCTTTTCAAGGGCAACAGCCAGATTTACTTTATCATAATTATATTGAGACAGGAGTAAATGGTAGTGTCATCTGCATTAATGCCTATTTGTGAACTGACGACATCAGGAAGATTATTGATGAAGATCAGAAACAGCGTAGAACCAGAAGGAGTTGCTGAAAAGTTGTCAACCCGTCCAAGCTTGAGTTTGAGAAATGGGACGAGCCGAGATTTTTTATCTTCCCTACCTCGTATCCCACTGCTTCTTCTTCTTCTTCTTCTTCTTTCTTTCTTTCTTTCTTTTTTTCTTCTTCTTCCAAGGAGGTGCTGAAAAGTTTTCAACCCGTCCAAGAAGTGTGAGAAACTGGTCAATCCAAGAATTTTTTCATCACCCCTACCTCTTATCGCCTTCTTCTTCTTCTTCTTCTTCTTCTTCTTCTTCTTCTTCTTCTTCTTCTTCTTCTTCTTCTAATGAGGTGCTGAAAAGTTGTCAACCCGTCCAAGAAAGAGTTTGAGAAATGGGACGAACCGAGATTGTTTTCATCACCTCCACTTCATATCACACTCCCTTTCTTTTTCTATTTTTCTTCTTCTTCTTCTTCTTCTTCTTCTTCTTCTTCTTCTTCCAAGGAGGTGCTAAAAAGTTGTAGACCCGTCCAAGGAGTGTGAAAAACGGCTCAGAGAACTTTTTCGTCACCCTCACCTCATATCACACTATTCTTCTTCTTCATCTTTTTCTTCCTCTTCTTCTTAAAATTTGATCTTTTTTTCCTTTTATTAGAAATTCTCCCTATTCCTTACGACTAAATTGCTCTAAAGTTATCTTGACTGCAGGCATCGATATTATTTATTTATTTTCCACCGCGGTTATTCTTACTCCCAAACAAACGAACATAGTGATTAAAGCGACCAAGATAGAAACATTTGTATGAATGTATGGAAGCCCACGGCGGTAATTGTTTATTGATGCATGGTTTTCTCTGCTGTTCTCTGACAGAACTAATAATAATAATTTTAGAAAAAGTTTATTTATATACGTTCTGCCTTGTCTGGAGTTTATGTCTAAGGTGCAGCGATAAAACAAAAATGTTTGAAAATATCTGCTTGAAACCTGTTCAAGCTTGTCACAAATTATGCCCAGTAGCTTAATGGAAAAAGGGGTGTTTCCATTTTTGCATAAATCGGTTAAAAACATTCTAATTCGGGATATGGCGAATATATATATATATATATATATATATATATATATATATATATATATATATTCCAAAATTCGCTTGCAAATGAAACAGTACTAGAGATTTTATTTTAATTCTATAATTAAATTTGAAGTTTTTAGTTTATATATATATATACACAAATTGAAAAAATAGTATATATATATATATATATATATATATATATATACTAATTTAAAAATATGCTTCCATCGCTACACAGGAATTAAGATGTTTCAAAATTAGAAACTGAAAACTTCAAATTTAATTATAGAATTAGAATAAAATCCCTAGTACTGTTTCATTTGCAAGCGAATTTTGGAATATCTTATTTTGAAATTTACTGAGTTTTATAAGCACATAGATTCTTAATATTAATTTCTAAGGATACGGGGAAATTCAATCATTTTAACAAGTGGTGATTGGGTATTCCTTTGTATCAAAATATGATAATTGTATTGAGCACTGTTTTTTGGGGTTTTTTTAAATAAAAATAATTAATAAGAACACCGGATTATAAATCTTACTGCTCATTCTCTATTTTAATTCATATATATATATATGTATATATATATATATATATATATGACTAAAATAATTAAAAAAATTGTTTCGTCTACTTCAATGGTGTTTTTTAATAATTTTGCTACCGTCATAAATTAATATTAAAGTATTCAGAATGATTGAGTTATTTTTTTTTCATTAAGCTGGTAAACATGTAGCCTTAAACGATTACTTTCAGCTAATACCTCTTTTTTTTTTCTTTTTTTGTTGTTGTTGTTGTTCTTCTTCTTCTTCTTCTTCTTCTTCTTCTTCTTCTTCTTCTTCTTCTTGCCGTTGTTCTTTTTGTTTATTTCTGTTGTGGAATCTGTATTTACCCGGGGTTGTTTAATGGACAATTGTCGATTATAAAGATATATAGGATATATAACAATTTGAGCCTAGACATGAAGAGGTTACGTATTTAGTGTTCGGGGAAATACCATCTCGAGTATCTGTTGCACTAAGCAGCTACTTGGGGAGTAGCTATCTGAGGAAAACCTCTTCCTTACCAATGGAATTTGTGCTACCAATTAAATTTGTGTCCATTTCGTAGTAATATTCTTGGAAAACCTATTTCATTTACTCACATCCTAAATTCACCCCCAGATCTGGGTAAAATAGCCGGACAGACTGAGCTATCTAGCCTTGAGTGGCAGCCAGTCTAAAAGAAAAACAATTCTGAATTCAAACCAGTTGGGTGCCGTGTTAATAACAACATCCCGTAAAACCTCCTTGCAAGTGAAATCGAAATAACATAACTTTTCGTGGTGCTATTGCCATTATTCTATCAATGCTTCGACAAGTATTTCTTGCATCTAAATTTCCCTTGCTATTTATTGCAACTCCCAGGCTGTGATTCTAATGAAAATATTGTATGTCAAAACTGGAGACGTTTTGCATAAGATTGTGACTATTTTGCTTAAAATTTCGAATTTGTTTCATTTCAGATGAAATCTTGGATATTTTTCCAAAATACTTCAATTAAATTTTCCCTTTCCAAAAGTATAGTTTATAATCCTAATGGAAAGTCGCCATCTTGATTAGAAATATAATTTATATCTTTTTAACTATCACTAGGTTCATATACAGGGTATCCAAAAAAAATTGACATCATTTCGCAGGCCAATAATTTTGGCAATTCTTGAATTAACCTCAAATTTTCTTAGAATGTATAGAGACAAATTACCATTTTATATTTAATGGAAGAAGACAGTCCGTGCTTATCTCAAGGAGACTCTACCAGAGAGATGGATCGATTGCGGTGGAAATGAAACCAGTTTTCTGATGAAATGGCCGCCGCGGTCACCGGACCTATCCCCGTGTGATTTCTTTTTATGGGCATATTTGAAGGGACTGGCCTATGTGCCCCCTCTTCCTGCTAGCATTGATGAACTCGAGCAGAGAATCACTTCTGCACTGGATAATGTTACCGGAGACATGCTACAACGTGTTTGGCAAGAGCTTAACTATCGATTTGACGTGTGCCGTGTCACAGGCGCTGCACATATTGAACACTTATAAAATCGCTCCTATAATAAACTTCTAATGTTCAACACCAAAACTGTTCAATTTCATTGAGCTAGACTTAGTAGTTATCAGGATAATTGCTTTTAAAATGATGTCAAATTTTGGGGGAACACCCTGTCTTCTAATTAGTATGCTCCCGAGAAGATCTTCCTCAGATGAATCCAATATTAACCATTATTTTCTCTTCAAGTTACAGGCACTATCCATTTTAGTTGTTGGTGCAATTGAGAATCGCCAAGTGGTGTGATTTCTGTGGTTTAGTAAAGTGCTTTGTTTGTCATTCCGTGTCGACAGCCCTCTAGTTTCCAAGAAGAATGGCCCTCTCGAAGACCAACGTTCATTCGCAGAAAGTCATTTTTAATCAGTGATCTGAGAAAGCGGTTATATATTGCTACTAGTTTAGACATTTCTGAACGAGTCGAGCATCATGCGTTATATCCACAGGAAAGTCTCCATTATATGAGTTTTTTTTAAAGAACAGGACATGAGTTAATAGGTTAATGTTTTAATGTTGTTACAATTTACAGTGTTTGCCAAACTACCTGTATCGCAGAATATTCTATGTCCTATTTCCCTTTTCTTTTATACGTAATTTGTTATAACTGATCTATCGGGTTACATTTCTGAGATGAGGTATTGTAACTATTGTCCTCATCTTTATTTTCAAATTCACGATGTTTCGACCGTTGTACCCCCCGGCCTTCTTCAGGTGATATACATTGGAATTTCGAACAGAAACCTTTATTTCGTTCCCCAGGACCCAGTTGGTTGAAGTAATCCAGTAACTTAAAGAGGTTAAGAATAAAGGGTTCAGAGAAATGAGTTCAATACCTGGCCACAGCAGAAGTGAACAAAAACTTGAGTAGTTGAATTACTAAACTGAAACTGGATCTCCAGAAAAGACCCGTAGAACTAGAACAATCTATCCCGATGGTCGAAATAAAAGATCCGATTCGAAATTCCAAATCGAATCTTTTATTCTGTTCGAAATTCCAGTGTATATCACCTGAAGAAGGCCAGAGCGTACAACGGCCGAAACGTCGTGAATATGATATGAAATCTGAGGTCAATAGTCCGAACAACGTATATAGGGTAAATTGATCTATCGGGTGCTGAAACGTTCAGTGTTGACCAAGGAGGGCTTCTCCCAAAGACTTTTTGTTCAGATTTTAGGAAGTTGACGAATTTGAATTTTTCATCATTCCGTGTATATT